GATTATATTAAGATTTTATATGATTCGGTTACGGTTGATGTTTTTGTAGATTAGATTATACTTTTTTTTAAAATTCTGGTCAAAGATTATAGTTGAGATTACCAGTTGTAAAAAATATCAGAGTATACTATTGCTCTGTTTAAACTTTCAAGAGAAGAGTGTATAAAAATTGACTAAAATCAATATAAATGATGAAAATGTGACAAAATTTTTGGATGTCGCTTTGTACCGCATTCTAATCGTCCCCTTAGTGAAGATTCATTATGAAAAAACTACACTAAGGGACTATAAAAAGACTGGGCAGTAAGTCTTCTCTTAATGACTTTTTATAACAATTTATTGTGAGCTGAGATCTAATGCTAAAATCATTGCTTTTGAATCGAATTTAATTGACTATAAAATAAGCCATAAACCATCTTCCATATTGATTCCATTGACATTTGATTGCGGCCATTATTTAAATGACGGCGGATTGATTAGCGTGAAGTTTCTCCGCGCTTGAATATTCATAACGTATCAAAATATTTTGACCGGTTTTACAACAGTATGGTTTCTCTTTTCTTCTATAATAATAGGATCTAAACTAAACTGTGCACAACTATTTAGTAGCTTTGATTCTTATAATATAACGATAATTGATGATTATAATATAACGTGGCAATGAAGCCAAAAAGCAATTAACTATAAGCCTCTTTTCCTTATTATAAGCACTTGATTCTCCAATGTTATTTCAATTCTACAATCTTTTGTGGAACATATAAAACCACTTATGAACCTCTTTGATTAAGCACATCCCCAAAGCTAACAATTAAAGCAGTTATAAAACAAGTTAATATCAAACGCAAGTGTTCAGTGCACTAACAGTTTTACGGCCCATTGGCGTTGCAAGCCGCAGTACGAGCCTAGTTTTATTGCCGCGTCAACTCGAACCTGGAATAAAAATAAGCTATTAACGATTTTATGAATCCCTCCCTCCCCTCATTCCCCCAACCCCCGGGACCTTTCGTTTACAATAAGGCAGTTACTAATAAAACTGGTTAAATACCTTTCTAATTTATGCATATTATTATGATGGTAGACAAAACCACGCACATAGATAATTCATCATCATCATCCACTTGCCCTTATCCCTTATGGAGGGTCGGCACAGTATGTGCTGCTCTTCCATACATCTCTATCAGCCGTCATATCTGAATCCACTCCTTTCTTAAGCATATCCTCTTTCACACAATCCATCCATACTTTCTTCGGTCTTCCTCTTCCTTTGTAGTCATCCATATTCATTCTTAACATAGATAATAATAGAATCAAAAGTAAAAGCAATTATTTTAAAATCTATATAATCCATTTTAATTGTGATAAGAAACTTGATTAGAATTTAAAAATTCACGTCTAATACTACACTAATGTACTATTGCAGTGTTCTCTATTTCTGTTTATAATATTTTTTATGTATAAATGTGGAAAGTACATAGAATATAGACGGTTAGTAAACAGATTAAAGCACTGACATTTCTTGTTTGTAGAAATAATATTATAATTAGTAAAGAAAATATATGACAGACTTAAACATAATGATGGTAGGCAGGACTTCTAGGAACTATCTGGAGCTACTAAAGGGCACAATAAAACTGACAATAAATGTTCAGTTAATAGCGCCGTGTCGCCCGCATATCATTACACGGAGTATTGAGGAGCATATCAAAATTGTATTCAAATTTCAACGACAATAACACTGGCCTCACGGTTGCTACAAATTCGATATTGTATATTACCTACTAGCTGTGTCCAACGGCTTCATCCGCACGAAATTGTAAAAACTTTGTCTGTTTACAATTGTCAAATGTGAACATTACCGTTACCATAATAACCTTGCTTCCTTGATGTTGGCAGCTTGTAGTTTATGGTCCCTTTCCCACATGTAGGTTTTACTAGTTTATTTACCCTATAAGTTTAATAGCGTGAAAATAAGCCTAAAGCGTGTAAGTGTAGGGCTTTTTTTGAATGAAAGTATAATTTAAAAATATGCTGTGATTGCTGACATTCTACGCCACATAGTAGTGTGTTTACGCTTTGTTATATTAAGTATAGAAATATAGATGTTACCATAGACAAAGGGACTTGAGTATTACTAGGCACTTACTGATGTTTTAAAATATTTCACTGCTAAATATTTGCTTGCTATATTGTTGACAAAACGTGAATCATAAAGACTGTTTATTTCCTTTATTATTCTCAGATATAAATCATACAAACAGTCATACAATGTATGCTACGTGTAGACATTTCGTAGGTAATTTGTAAAGGAAATAGGAAGCGCGTAGCACAGCTACGTCGTAGATGTTATTGTTGCAACCGATTCGGAGTTATTTTCATCGTAACTTGAAAACATGCAAATTATACGATAATTATCTATTTTACACAGGAGTCTTTGAAATACACTTTTTAGCTTAGGCTTAGAGGAAATTTGTTAATATAAAAAATTGTTAAAAAACTTGTTAATATAAAAAATAATTCAAATATATGAACTTGATCTAATACATTAGTATGTGTATTTAGTACATTTTTTCACTAATTAAAGTTGAACGAAAACATTCACATCATTTTGTTCAAACAGAAGGTTAATTGCGACGCATCGCGTTGCGCCGAGACCGAGACCGAGTCTACGCACACACAATGACATCCCCATCGTTACGCACACAATTACCTTTATTATTCATCTCCTAAGTTATGGTGCGACCTTTTAATTACTTTACTTTAAAGGATGTTTTCTAGCTTTGGTATTGCCAATTAAATTGTGTGCACATATAGGAATATTAAAGAATAAACTGTTTGAAATATTATTTTGAAAAGTAAATTCTTGTACATATTTGTACTTGCTATCTGTTATTAATAATTACTTTTAAAAGTAATTGTAAAATTAAATCATTCTGTACAACATAATAGCAAAAAAATACAATTATAAACACAAGATAAACATTATCTAAATCGTTTATCGCAAGATTTAATTTAGTAAATGGCTTTTGAATTAATGTGCTATATGTGTTAATCCCTTAAATTGATGTTATCATTATTTATTATCTAATAACAATTTTTATCGCAATACATATTAGTATATACGTTTATTACAACAATAATCATGCATTAAAATCGTGTAGTTCTATACGTAATTGTCTCTGATAGTACAAATTGAGTGATGTCGTGTCATAAAATGTTTGTTATGTAAGTGAATACTTTATTATTTATAGATTTTTCAGAATTAGACAGATTTTTTAACGGTTTCTACGGTTTTATTGAAACAAGAAATGTGTTGTACTTCATGACCTTGACAATTTTAAGACCGTATTATATTTATCCGATGCCAGATTTAATGCACAAAAAGTTTAATATAAAAAGCACATAACTGGAAGCTTTTAGCTCTAAACTTCAATCGAATAATATATTTTTGTATATGAGAAACGCACAAGTAAGATTATTAAGATTTTATTACTTTACTCCATATAAATACACTTAAAAATAAGATGTTGAAAAGTGTGTAGCCTAATCTTTGTCTAAGGTTAAATTAATGTGCCTTATAAATTATATTTAAGTACTTTAATATTCAGATAATTCACTAGAAGTCTATGAATTAATAAGTAAATTAAATCAATTAAAGCCAATGAAAGCGCTGCACCATTCCACCCCGTGTGTGCAGTAGGCGCGGGCGCGTGCAACAGGCGAGGCGCGCGTGTGTGCGTCACTGAGCGCTGACGTGATTTCCTGCGCTGAGTTATTGCCACTGCCACTGTGCCGGCGCTAAATGCTTCGAACGATGGAACTTTGTCATGGCGTCTTTCTTTTCGGTTTTAATATTTTTTATAGAATTTTCATCACAGTTGTATATCGTTGACATACAATTATCTTCTCTAATTTATAAAGTGTATATTCAGATCTTACTAATATTATAAACGCGAAAGGTTTGATAGATGGATGGATGTTTGTAGCCTAAAAGGCTGGACGGATCTCGATGAAATTTGGCATAGATGTAGAGAACTGGAAGAACACATAGGCTACTTAGTTTTTTTAATTCCATGCGGACGGAGTCACGGGCGGAAGCTAGTTTAAATTAAAGTATGATCCTATTGCACAAAGTATAAAAGTATACTTTTTAAAATTATCAAGTAATTAAGTATTAACATGAGAAATGAATTACAAACAGATTTGTGAAATTTAGTCAATTTGTAATTATAACGAACTATCTTCAGTCTCATTGTTACGATCGATACTGTTAATAATTTTCTATTTTTTGTGAAAATGTAAAGATACATTTTATTACAATTGCATTCCTTTATTTGATTATGATTTTTATTGTTTCTTCTTAATTTCATCAAAAACATATACATCATGATCAACTGTTATTTCAGATAAGTTTAATTTGTTTTTTATCTGTGCCACCATAGTGTTTATTTATATCATATATTTTATTATCGTAAGCCATTTTTGAATGATAATTGAATGAATTTTAATCGTCATAATCTATGATATATTAAATGATTGGCGCGGGATTATATTTTTCTGCATTACCGATAAATTAGTTATTTGTAAGTATTGCTGATATTTCAGACTTTATTGTTATATAAATAGTATTAATTATGTAATAGTTCCATAGTTTGATTGTCGTAAACAAAAAAAAAACAGTACCAATTAACTCACATAAAACACATATATACTAAGATTTTAAAATTATATCATTTAAAAAAATATGATTCTTATGTATTTAACATCCGCAAGTATGTCTATTTAAGTAAAATCCAAGCTTTAGTTTAATTATTATATGCAACGTTAATTATATAAAAAGAATATGTTCAAGTTTGATGAATCATCCTCCATTTGATAAACGGAATTAATAAAATGATCAAGCCGACGTGCAAAGGTCAGTACGCTAGCTCTGCGAGGGGGTGGAGAAGGCAACAACTCATAAAATTAAGCGATTTGGATGTGAGTTAGTCTAACAGCGAGGATCGCCGCGGCAACACGCACAGCGCACACACACAGCGCACAGCGACAGCCGCAGCCGCACACACACAGCGCCGGCAGTACGGCCCGCGTTCCGTCGCACGACAATCGCTCCTACAAGCGTCTCTCGCCCGCCGCCATTGTTCCCGCCACAATGCGTTGACACTCGAGCTCGGAAGTGGCCCATTCACGAATCGTTCCGAAACACTGATTGTTTTCGTTCTATTTAATCTTTATTGGAGTTATTTAATCTGTGCGTTGGAGTGTTTTTTTTTTTAATTTGTTCGTGAACGTGCAAGTGATTTATGTCACGGATATTGGACTTGTTCGGTGAGTATTGCGTTTTTTGATTGAGTTATATTTAAAGATTGATGAAAGATTAGTTGACGGTGCGCGATTATCTAAATTTTTTGTGATAAATTTATTCGTTTAAAGTTTTTTTAATAATATTTTCACATCATGTTTACAAACAGAACTTAAGTAAACTTTTGTTTTTTAAAAAATTAGAATAATTTTTAAAAAGTTACTATATATTTTTTTCGAAACGTCTGTGATTACGTGAGGAATGTGCGTGTCTTTGCGTTATCGCCGTGTTACATACGTCGTTTAATTATTTTATTATGTTGTGTACACTCGCATCGTCAGCCTTTTGTAACAAGCCCTAGCTTGACTAATGCGTGTCTGTAATTACCATTCTAAAGATATTATTCATACTGTTGCATCATTAAATAATCTTTACTAATATTATAAAGAGTAAAGATTTAGATTTTGGATTTTTATTTTTATTTGATTCACACAAAAACTACTGGGCCGATTTTAAAAATTCTTTTACCGTTAGAAAGGTAATTCTGTGAGTGACATTTTAATTCCACGCAGGTGAAGTCGCGAGCAATAGCTAGTGTATTATAAATATAATTTAGTAGACATTTGATTTGAAATATAATCAAAATGAATAAAGATTTTTCTGTATCTTAAATAGACAAAGGAATCATTTTCTCATTTGTACCGCTTACACCTTTGTTCGTGAGAAATTAAAAACAAAACTGAGTTAGTCTTTGCCCTATTCCAGACTATAAATTAATTTTATTCCAAATGTCATTTAGATCAACGATACAGGAGTTATATAGTAGGAAATATCTATCATAAGTTTTCGCATTACAAATCTGTTGTAAAATGCGATATTACCTATGAGGATAACAAAAATAAGAGGAAAAATGTAGCATTTAATTAGCTTAATTGCACAGGTGAAGAGCTAGATTTCGTAATAATACAAAAAGGATGACCTAATTAAGATCTCGAGAATTTGTCTTGTATTCACTGTAATAAAGTTAATTGCTCTTTTACACTATTCAATTATAACTACACCGACGGAACATTTAAAATTATCAGCGTTTATAAGCTAACCAGAATTCCTTTTAACTGTAAGACATTAAAAAAGTTATTGTTATTATTAAAGCCAGCATAAGCCTAGAAAAGTTAAAGTTTAGTGAGTAACGCCTGCATCCAGAAAAACACTGTTTATTAATAGTTCCTTAACATTAGTAATAAAATAATATAGCCTATGTTACTCACTGATAAACTACCTTTCTGATAGTAAAAGAATTTTTAAAATCGGCCCGGTAGTTTTTGAGTTATTGCAATACATACAAAAACAGAAAAATACAAATCTTTCCTCTTTATAATATTAGTATAGAAGTAAAGATGAGCGAGATGACAATACTTGTTGTTATTTCACTAATGGTAACGTTGAAAACATTTTTTGTAATATTAGACACGGCAGCAGAGTGAGTAGAAATTTGAACAGAGGTCAATTCAGGGATCATTGAATACAGCGTTATAAAAACTATAGCTTATAAAGCGTTACTAAATAGATCGCTCGACTTAAACTCCTTTTTAATGGTCGCTTAAATAATCCTTAGTGAGTCGACCACTAAACATCTCTGAATGCGACAAAATATTATCAAGATTACATTAAACAATATGCAAATTTTAATCGTTTCTTATCGTGATAACAATACGAACGAAATCATCGACAATTAAATTCTGAATGAATTATCAAATGTCTTAAGTTAAATCTATGGGTTTATGTAATTTAAAATAATTCAATATTATTTCCAAGGCGTAATTTAGCAGCGGATAATTATTAAACAAAACACAATACTATAGGAAAATAACCTAATCTTAATAAAATACAAAACCCGACCGACTGAAACTATTACCAGGAAACATCGAAAAAAGAATAATAAATGACGAAAAGTTATTCGAATTTCGAACTCGGCTTCTTCACTTTTATTTTACAATTTTAACTCTTACCACTATATATGTTTTATTCCGATATAATATATCCTGACACTGGAGAAAAGATCTAACCGAAAAACACCTCACTCGTTAAATTCGGTTTAAAATTGAATTGACAAACAGTCTTCAATAACTTCAGCTTAGCGGCAATTTCTCGTTCAGACTTGCCTTCGTAGTATAGAGTAACGATGGCGGAACGAATTTCACGGACTTTTCTCATTTTTGAAGATCTTCACTTGACAAAACAGTAGCTTAGACTGAATAGATTTAACCAAGACTAACTATTTAAGTAGCCATGCTATGAATAGGATTTATGGTTTAAAATATTCCTGAAATTGAATTTACAAACCGCGCGAAAAAATCTTTGTCAGTCGAGTACTATGATATATTGCAAACTAAAGGTTATATAGATGTACATATCAAGTAGCAAATATCCCATATAATACATATAGCACGTATTTACCCAACAGTAAATACATGAGGGATCAATTAGTTATATTAGATGTAATTGCATTAAGGGATATCCGCGCAAGCCAGTCGTGCTAATTGCTGTCCGGGCTGTGACGTCAGAAACACGGACATGTCAGACCTGACTGGTTATTTGCACATTTAGATATTTAATGCTGGGTTTCTGAAGTTCCCATTTATTTTCCACCTTGCGATTTATTAGTGTTAAGTTAACTTAAACTCAAATTACGTAGTTCGGAAACGCATTTCATTTATTTATGGAAGCAAAAACACTAACGAATGGTTAAACGTAGCTGAGAAACAGGCCATAAGTTGGTTTTAAATAAATTTCATAAAAAATGACTTATCTTATGGTAAATGTCTCACTGTTGCATATAGAAATAAAATTATTGATATATAAATAATGATTTCGTTGCAGAAAGGTTAAAAAACAATTTACTAATTTTTTTTCATACGAGTATTAACTTATTATTATTCAGACATAAATCTTAAAATGTTTAAGGATGTTACAAATGTATATTTAAATGTATAATACCAAGGATTACGGTATTTCCCCGTTTATATCTAAGAAATTAATAATACGTTATTATCTGTATTAAAACACGCGTTACTTTTTTGTTAATCTGTGACAAATGTCAAACTGACAGCTAACGTTATAATCTGTATTTGCATTTACACACCTCAACGAATTATAAACAACTAACACGTACTTTCCAATGAATTTAATAACCTTAATTGCAAAACACGAGCACGACCTTTATATGTATAGACGATTATAAACATTGTTACGTATTAAATAAGGATCGTAATCAAATATCAATAGGCTTACCACATCTCTGTGACCAGTAACTGATGACGTCATTGTTTATCAAACGGATTTCGCTGTGATATTGCGGAATGCACGCCCCTGCATTACTATTCTTGGGATCGAATTTCATTCTTTAATACTAACTTTATTTTATTGTCAAATTCTCAGTTGTAAATGTCAAATGAACTAATGACAACCAACTTTGCAATTGCAATTGGATACCGATTACCGTTACCATGCCAACATCAATGCTTCCTTGATGTTGGCAGCTTGTAGTTTATGGTCTTTTTTCCACATGGAGGTTTTTCTAATTTTCTTTGCCCCCTAATTTTAATAATGTATAGCCGCAAACGTGTCGTAAGTGTAGGGTTTTTTTAAAGAATTATTCAAAAATATGCTGTAATTGCTGACATCTTAGGCAACAAAGAAGTGTGCGTTTACGCTCTATTATTATTAGTTTAAAAAACAAATATTTGAATATTCCTTCGGGTTAATTCAAAAGTTTCTTATTAAAAGAAAACTATTTGAATAAGATTTACTTAGTTATTTTAAAAACCATGAAGAATTTTAGTTTTAAAATATATGCTACAATTAAATTGCATTTGGGTAAATGTGTGAATTTCGCCGCTGCGTTGTCCAATAAAAAGTACATCGCGAGCTAAAGTGGTTTCACGAATTTCTGTTTGTCGTCGAATTATATGCTTCAAACATCCGTATGATCTTTTCTAAGTGGGCTGTATCCGGCGTGGAGTCGCTATTCCCAGCTCAATGACAGCATTAACCGTTCACAATATTAAACAAAATCAAAGAAGATTAAAAACGTAAATTAATTCAGGAAATGTAACTATTAACGCGGCCATTTGCTTTGATAGTCGTTCTGTCAGGCGGCCATGTTGGATTCGCGAGTGCCTTGTAACTTCCGACGGTCTCTATTAAAATTATAATAAAACCATTATAGTTTTGCTGTTCGATTCTTGTTAGTAAAGAAAGTGACTTCTATTCTGTAAGGTAAAGGGTTCAGTTTAGCTCAGGTTGTATGAATGGGGTGCAGTAACAAAGTTGTGAGCGGTATCAAAGGGCCCACACACGTCGACGTCGGGACTTCCGCAACTCTATTCTGTCGACGTATTATATCGATTAATAACATAATCTTTTGAAATGCCGACATGTAATTGTTTTTAATTGATCTGCAGTTATCGATCATTTTAATTTTAACTTCGATCTTATGGACATACACGATGGGGAACTTTATAAATTCATGAAATGCGTTTCCGAAGTAGTTCGTAGGTAACATGAGTTAAACTCCGATGAAATGAATGACTAAATAATGACAAAATAAGTGGGAACTTTAGAAACCAAGCATTAAACAATTAAATATTTAAAAACTTTATAATATTTCCTACAAGACTTTTCATCTAGTTAAATCATGAATATTACTGTTTTTTTTTATTATCCTAGTATAGATTAGATTGCCTTAATTATTAAGGAATACGGTTATGCAGAGACTAATTGCGATTTTTTCTAGATTGTCTCATTTTCCTCCTTATTAGAAAGTCACTTGAAATATAGAAAGTAACAGTATCACAATCATTGTCTCAATAAAGGTCTGACAAAGAGTTTTATTTAGCGATGATGTGAGTGGTCACTCCGAGCCCCGACGTCGCTCCGCTTCGGTTTGTCTCAATTCCTATCAGGGCTGTCTCTCTGGATTTTATTGCTAATATGCTTTATTAAGCAGTGAATTCCAAGAAATTGATCTTAAAGTTGTGAAGTATTTATGTGATAATACAGTTTGAGTTAGAAAGTTACCGCGCGAGTAACGACTTTTTATTTTTCTTAGTTTAGACGCAACACTACTATTGTCCTAAACTTCTCAAATTGGCCATTTTCTTTCAAACCGGCGATTGTCAACTTGCATTCTCGAGACCGGGGCACTGAATAATAAACGGTACTCGTTTCAAACCACTTTCCTGGGCTCATTAGCAACATGTAGTCGAAACCAATTAAAATAACATATCGGATTTTCTTAATAAAAAACCAAACAAAACGTGGGACAACCATAAATCGGCTCCCCAATAAAAATCAATCAGCGGTCACTGATGAAAGTATGAGTAAATGTCGAGCCCTGTTACCCGTGTATGTATTTGTGCGGTGTGTACGCGTGTGTAACTAAGCGCAGGGGGTAAATAGCGCACGATGGTTGCTCGCAGGTGCGGGGGTGATATTCGATTTACTCAGAGTTAGTAATAAAATTCGTTACAAATAAAAAAAAAACAACTTAAATTTATTAACTATAAACGACTAGTTTTTGTAAAGCAAAGCAATCAGTGGTAAAACCTATTGATAATACGAGTAAATAATTAGCAATGTAATTGGGTAGCAACATTTAGCAATTGTTTTCGTCGATGCAACTGTTCGTGACCAAACGCAATGTAAATGTAATTACGATGGTTAAATGTATCGATAAATGTTTGCACAAGCACAATGCAGGATTTGTGTCACACACATGTCATAGTTGTATAATAATATGTAAAGGTGCGTATACACTGCCGCTTGTACGATAATATATTGCTTTAGAAATAACAAATAATGTATAAGGAGATGGAGAACGTTAGTTACGAGTGTGGAAGTATTCCGGTAGAGGTAGACCTAGAAAGAGATGGATGGACTGAGATGACGTATGATAGAGTTATGTGGAGGACAAAAACAACTGTTCAGTCTCTAGTCCGTTAATTTTTGTTCTATACAATAACATAATTTATATAGAACCTGCGACTACGAATTCGAATTGCACAAAGACGATCAAATGAATAGAACAATCCGACAGACACAAACTTGTCTAACATGATCATCGTAGCAGCCTTTCATGTTTGCTGCGGCTCGTTAGTATTGAATTAGAATAGAGACATGAGATGAGAGCAGCGCTGCAATATGATGCGGAAACGATGCGAAATTGCGGAATGCACTTTAAATAACCGATACACAGATCGACTCTACCGAGACTGCGTCCGCCATGGGTTAGGGTTTATTGCGGACAGTACGGAAGTGGAAAATAAAAATATTTAGATATCTGGAACAATTTGTAATCAAACCTATGCTTATGTTAGTATTTATATGTGAGCAGATGGTTTTAAAAACTTCTTTTGTCTTTCCAAAGACTTGATTTGACGTTATATGTATTATGCTTATAATTGAAAATATGAAAGTTTAAAACAATGTTGTAACAGGTATCTTGAATGTTATAAAGTTGTTAACATTATTCCATCAATGCTGTCCGCTCCATTCTTAATAAGCATAGCCACCCATTAGTGCCGCGTTCACTCACTCAATAAGACTCAAATCGTCGGTCTGTTTGTTACAGGAAGCCGAGAACATCGGCGCGGACTTCAAAGCCGCGCCTACATCAAACGACCTCTCGCCATCGCATCGCCGAGTGCCTATTGAGCGCTAATTCAATCATAAAAACAAACATGAGCGACTATTTCCGTACGAATCGCGGCTGAGGATCACACATGAGCGCGGAAAACGAGCCGGACTCCACAGAGGACAAGCAGCACGAGACCGGGGGAGAAGCAATGCAAACTGTTGTGTCCACGTACGTCGCACCGAATCTTAACGGCAAGGGGGACACTCTGATCGACGTTAACTATCC